CTCACAGGCCAACGTGACTACCCTAAACCAGATGGCTTAACTAATTCTACCTTAGAATATAGTGAAGAAAGCGGGTATATGGCGTATCGAGGGAAGTATATTAATAATATTTATTTTTTCATTCCCCATCACATAAAATTCTTAGCTGCATCAAAACCTTTTATTACCAAACTCTTCTTCAGACAACGCTGCCTCTCATCATAATTTCTGCACCAGACTTAAGGTTATCGTACTCAAGGGGTTAATGTCATCGTACTCAAGGGGTTAATGTCATCGTACTCAAGGGGTTAATGTTATCGTACTCAAGGGGTTAATGTCATCGTACTCAAGGGGTTAATGTCATCGTACTCAAGGGGTTAATGTCATCGTACTTAAGGGGGTTAATGTTATCGTACTTTAGGGGTTGTATCGTACTCAAGGGTTAATGTCATCGTACTCAGGGTTAATGTCATCGTACTCAAGGGTTATCGTAGTTACACCGAAATATTCATCAGAAGACAAGAGTGTCACTGAGGAGCATTGGTGTAGGTGGGAGGGTGTGTGGGTAGGTTGTGTGGGTAGGGGGTGTGCAGGTAGGGGTGTGTAGCCAGGAGGGTGTGTGTGTGGGTAGGAGGTGTGTGGGTATGGGGGTGTGTGGGTGGGGGTGTATAGGTAGGGGGGTGTGCAGTGGGGGGTGTGTAGAGGGGTGTGCTGTGTGGTAGGGGTGTGTGTGGGTGGGGTGTGTGGGTGGGGTGTGTGTGGGTAGGAGGGTGTGTGGGTGGGGTTGTGGGTGGGGGTGTGTGGGTGGGGTGTGGGTGGGGGTGTGCGGGTAGGGGTGTGTGGAGGGTGTGTGCTGTGTGGTGGGGTGTGGGTGTGTGGGTGGGGGGGTAGTGTGTGGAGGTGTGTAGGTAGGGAGGGTGTGTGAGTAGGGGTGTGTGGGTGGGGTTGTGTGGGTGGGAGGGTGTGTGGGTGGGGTGTGTGGGTTGGGTGGGGTGTGTGGTTGTGTGGGTGGGGTTGTGTGTGGGTGGGGTGTGTGGGTGGGGTGTGTGGGTGGGGGTTGTTAGTGGGTGGGGTGGGGGGTGTGTGGGTGGGGTGTTTGGGTGGGGAGGGGTGTGTGGGTGTGGGGTGTGTGGGTAGGAGGGTGTGCAGGTGGGGGTGTGTATGCAGGGTGTGTGGGTGGGAGGGTGTGTGGGTGGGGGTGTGGGTGGGGGTGTGGGTGGGGTGTTGGTTGGGGTGTGTGGGTAGGAGGGGTGTGTGGTGTGGGAGGGTGTGGGGTGGGAGTTGGTGTGGGGGTGTGGGTGTGTGCAGGTGGGGTTGTGGGAGGGTGTGTGGGTGGGAGGGTGTGTGGGTGGGGTGTGTGGGGGGGATGTGTGGGGGTGTGGGTAGGGGGTGTGTGGGTGGGGGTGTGGGTGGGGGTGTGTAGCTAGGAGGGTGTGTGGTGGGGTGTGTGGTGGGGTGTGTAGCTGGGGAGATTGTGTGGGTGGGGAGGGTGTGTGGGTATGGGTGTGTGGGTATGGGGTGTGGGTGGGGTGTATGGGGGTGTGGGTGTGGGGTGTGAGGTGTGGGGTGTGTGGTGGGGGGGGTTGATGTGCTGGGGTGTGGGAGGGTGTGTGGGTGGGGGTGTGTGGGTGGGGAGGGTGTGTGGGTGGGGTGTGTGGGGGGGGTGGGAGGGTGTGTGGGTAGGGGGTGTGTGGCGGGGGAGTTAGGCAGGGATGTGTGTGGTGGTGTAGAATGGGAGGACAAGGCTGCCTCCTCTACTACCTCCTCTCACCTCCTCACCTCCTCCCACCCCATCCTCCTCCGTCTCCGCCCTCTACCTCCCCACCACCTCCACCTCTCCTCCTCCGACCTCCAGCAAATGATAATATAATCAATAAACCGCAATAGCTATTTTAAACCAACCCAAACGTCGCTCGCTCTCACTAGCTGGAGGAGGAGAGCATTACCATCACCTTCCCTCCTGACCTCTCTCCCTCTCAATACGACTTTCCTCCTCTGACCTCTCCCTCCTTTCCTCCTTCGTCCGTCCATTCCTACCACCTGTTCCACCATTACCACCACCTGTTTCCACAATACCACCACCTGTTCCACCATCACCACCACCTGTTCCAACATCACACTGTTCCACCACCACCTGTTTCACCATACACCACCTGTTCCATCATCACCACCCACCTGTTACCATCACCACCACCTCCACCATCCTACCACCTGTTCCACCACCACCTGTTCCACCATCACCACCACCGTTACCACCACCTGTTTCACTATCACCACCACCTGTTCCATACCTGTTCCACCATCCCCACCTGTTCCACACCACCTGTTCCACCATCCACCACCTGTTCCACCATCACCACCACCTGTTCCACCATCACCCACTGTTCCACCATCACACCACCACCTGTTTCCACCACCACCTGTTCCACCATCACCACCTGTTCCACCACCACCTGTTTCACCATCACCACCACCTGTTCCCATCACCACCACCTGTTCCACCATCACCTGTTCCACCACACCACCTGTTCCACCACCATCACCACCCACCTGTTCCCATCACCACCACCTGTTCCACCATCACCACCACCTGTTCCACCACATCACCCACCTACCATCACCTCACACCACCACCTGTTCCACCATTACCACCACCTGTTCCACCACCACCTGTTCACTAACACACCTGTTCCACTACCACCACCTGTTCACCATCACCACCACCTGTTCCCACACCTGTTTCACATACCACCTGTTTCCATCATCACTTTACCCACCACCTGTTCCACCATCACCACCACCTGTTCCACCCTACCTGTTCCACCATTACACCACCTGTTCCACCCACACTGTTTCCTATCACCACCTGTTTCACTCCACCTACCATACCACACAATCTGCCCTGGCACCCACAGTCTACCACCGTGCCAGCAGGTGTCTGTTGCGTCTCCCACAAAACCACTGTATTTAACTCTGTTCTCATATACTGTTGTTGTTGTACTGATGCCTACTTGTTGTTGTTGTTGCATGATGCCTCCTTGTTGTTGTTGGCAAGTTATAACACAAGTGGTAGGGGACTGTGCTAAGGCAGGACCTCCTATAATAGTTATATCCTCCCATTATTACCAAACTATCACCTGCCCCACCTAACACCACCTTCAACCCCTCCCAAGACCACCATCCCCACCCACTATCACCACCACCCTCAACGGTCTATTCCGCCCACCTTCACCCTTAACCCCGCCCACCACCCTCAACCGCATAGCCAGCCTCTACCTCCTCCAGCACCTCTCCAGCATTTCCCAGGTGACACGCGCTGTGAGATTGTACCGCGCTGAAAATGTTCTGGGTACACACAGTTCAATAAAAATCTAACTAAACCAATCCCTAACCTAATCTTTTATTCAGAGGGGTAATCTCAGTACGCCTCATGTTTTCAATGATGTTTTGATCGAACTGCGCATACCAAGAACATTTTCCGCACGGTATGATCTCAGCAGTGCGCCACACCAGCCAGCCAACCACCCACCCACACACAGCCTTCCGGGTCCCGCCAGACACTACTACCTCAGAGACAGTCCCACCAACCACATACAACATTCCTCTCTATTTGGCTGCCACCATCTCCTCCGTTTAATAATATCACAGACTTAAAAATAGTTATCTAGTGTTTATTATAGTTTAAAGAACATCAGATATAGACACCTCAGGTTATTTCAACTGAAGATTAACCACCCTTACTCTGCCTTGGGGGAGGTTAGGTTAAGTTAAAGGATAAGTTTGGTTTCTTTTTGTGTAACGCAGGAGACAGAGAGCAATAATATGGCAGACGCTCACCAAGATGACGTGTACATGTGTGTAACTACTATTATTATTATTATTATTATTATTATTATTATTATTATTATCATTATTATTATTTAGTAGAAGTAATTTTCTTAAATATGAGAGAGAGAGAGAGAGAGAGAGAGAGAGAGAGAGAGAGAGAGAGAGAGAGAGAGAGAGAGTGTGTGTGTTTTGGAAAAATTAATAATACTCTTACATTCTTCGTATTAATCACTGACATTCTCCTGGGCCAGAGTTTATTATTAGCATCATTTACACAACAACCTGTCATTCATAAAACTATTATAACAACATTGGCAGAGAAAGTTACACTGTAATGAGTGTGAAGAAAGTAGTAAAGCGAAGAAAAAATAATAATGGAGTTTCTCTGACAGTGACAGCTCACCTCCCTCATTGTAACACTGTATATAATTTCATGACAGGCTGTATATCATTATATTGAATTTTCTTACAAATATGTCATCAAGTTTCCACAAAAATTACTGTAATATAGGTTGTAGCATATAATATTATTTTTTTTTCTTTTTAAAAATTAAAATATAGCCGGTAATTGTTTAATACAGTGACCAGTGAAAACAGATTTAGATAGTTTTATTTTAAATGTCAATTGTAAATTCACTCATTTTTTCTTTTCTTTTTTTACAAGTTTTAATCTTTAGAGAAATTTTCAAGAGAAATTCTACATCAGTTGGTATGGGTGACGTTTCTTTACGCTAGACTTCAGCCGCCACGATCCAGCCAGACACAACAACCTGAGCACCATTACAGGTCTTTACTCGTCATATCTTTGTCTTATTAAATAAAGAGAAGACATGTATGATATTATGCCCTAACTTGGGTTCTTTTGAGTAGACAAGCGAGTCTTTCTGCTGCCACCTACTGGGACAATAACTTTAGCCCATTGAATAAAAGTGTCATTTTCCTCATGGGGTTAAGGCAACGTATTCGAAGATTACACCATTGTACTCAAGAGGTTATGTCATCGTACAATACAGGAGGAGATACGATATCTTAATGGATTAATTGTACTCAAGAAGGTTGGCGTCTTACTCAGCGGGTTAAAACCTACAAGGAAATTCGACATAGCACCAACTTGTGTTAATCCAGAGATGAAAACCTGGATGTACTGTTCAGACACAGAGCCGCCACCCATCACCCACGTAACTTGTAAATACCTGAGGAGGAGAGAGACTGAGGAGGACCCCACACCTCGGCAACTCACCATGACGTCACCACAACAAGACTCACCTGCGGGGAGAATCAATTATGCATTAGTTAATTTGCATCTTATAATGAACGACTTAACTACACAACAAGAAATATCCGCCTGACATGTTATAAAAACTCTCTCTCTCTCTCTCCTGGGTTTAAACCAAGGCAACGATAGGTACAACAAAAATAACATTGAAGTATATGACAGAAATACTAATGGGCAAAACTGAGGGCCAGGGGAAGGTAGTGGCAGTAATGGAGGATTAAAGTTCAAATCTGTGGTCCTGGAGAAATATATAATCAGGGAGGATTAGTAAAGACAATCCGACGGTGTTTGGAATTAGCACCTTGATTGACTCACGTGAATGAACGACAGTTAAGACTTAAACATTATGTCATTTAAGTGTGTTTACATTGGTTAGACACAAATCCCCATAATCAGAGAAGTGGAGGCGGTATCGAGGACCCTCTCCCTGCTGACTCCCACCTAAAAGACATTTATTGTCCAAGTATTAATATTTTTGTAACACTTAATTTTATAATTTCACTATAACATTGAAAACCATTGTATCTTATATTGTCACGTTGATATAAATTACCATTACAATGATTTTATATTTTGCCGTCAAGTCATTGAGTGTTTGTCCTTTTGTTTCACCCCAACATTACCTATGGGGAGGGGGGGGGTGAAGCGTCGTTTGTCACCAGAACTTCCACACTTTTCCCCACTACTCTTATCATCCATCAGCCCCCATCATTACACATAACCCACCAGCCCCCATCATCACACACACCACCCATCCGGCCCCATCACCCCACACACACCCCCCCATCACCATCCTCACCACAACAACCCCCATCACCACACAGACATAGATCATCCCACCATACAATAAACATTACCTCGTCAATTTATCACCCCCAAACACACACTCACTAGTCAACATTCCTCCTCTTATTGTAACCAACACAAAATCACCGGCGGTCAGTCTCACCCACCCCATACCAGCACCCCTCATAAAATTTTATATGCCATAATGAACCCCCTCCCTCCCTCCCTCTCTCTCTCTCTCTCTCTTAGACCTGTTCACATCACTAATCTTAACACTCAAGGGCCTCACTCTCGTCTCTGATAGTAAACCTAATACACCATAGAGAAATTCGCGGACGAGGGACCTCAGGTGGTAGTAAGCAACAGTAGTGAGGATGAGACAAAGCGGCTAAACTATTCTTGCCACCGCCACCTTCTACCACCTGTGATTGATTCCCTCTGTACAAATTGCTGTTCTACTGTACACTAATATCGCATCCAGCCCATACGACCTCGTACTGGTCGCTACAAGAACAACCCCATTCCACCTGTTATAAAAATCATCAATAGTTCTAGATAATGTGTGTGTACACTTCTTGTCTGTTTTCCAGTTTGTACTCTAACTTCGCTAAAAGTCCTTGTTAAATTACCCCCTCCCCAAGACACTGTATCTTATGTATGAAGTAATTTTTCAGCTTGTCTGCTGTAGCTTTAATAATACTTTAATTACTATAAATATATACACGATGCTCCTCCACCTTCACTCCCCGCACCATATCCTCGCCCCGCGTGTTCTTGTTCTTCACTCTCACAGTCGTCCCCAGCTTAACATTATTCAAAGGTCCTCTCCACATCAACCCTAACCGTCTTCTGGTCAAAATAATAAATTTCTCTGGAAATAACTAAGTAACAGGACCCACCCACCCCCCTCCCCCTTGGCCACGTACTGTACCTACCAAATGAACTATCCTTACATCAGCTCTACAGTAATGTACACAATTCCTCAAATTACTGTGTGACTCTACAGAACTCTCCCTCGTGCTTCTACTGGCAGCACCAACATGTCCTGTGTGACCTTGATAGTGATGAGTCAGAGGAAGCTGCGGTATTACTTCGTCTGGGGTTGTCTCCTGCCTCAAAAGTGTAAAGGCAATTTAGGCTCCTCACTACTTAAACACTGTACTAAAAATGGCTGGACATGATCACAAAACACCAGGAAGTTGATGTTGACTCAGTCATTGGGCAGCTCTCTGGGTAACTTCTAATCTCACATGGGGAACTACAGCTTATACCTATTCCATCTGTGGCTCCTGATGTACTGTACGTGAACGTGGGACCCATCCGCCTGGCGGTCCAATAGGGACGGTGTGGGCACAACACACTGTACAGTATACTAAGTCTTTTTCGGTACACAAGGAGACAGTGTGGCCGGTACTACACTCGCCTGCCTTCACTTCCCCAGCTATAAAGATAGGCACCCTTTTGTAGCTGGGTGGACTGAGGAGGGTCCCTGTTCGCGAAACAGCGATCCTTAGGGCAAGAGGCGAGCGCTATATTTACTCGGCTGCCGCGCCCCACACACATAAATGTAGGTGAATAGCTTTTCCAGTGGGCCAGAGTGCTGGCGGGTCATGTGGAACAGCCCACCTCCTGCTTGTGTCCACACTAACTTCCTGGTGCCTGTGATGCTGTCCGGTTCAGATGGCTTAAACTGCAAGATGACCACAAACTTTCTCTTACACGACTGAATGAAAACCTGGTCAACGCTCTCAGTTTTGTTAAGATATTACTAAGATATACATAAAGTACTGAGGCTGCTGGTGAGTGAAGTAACAGGCGCCTATTGTAGCACGTAACTAACAGTCGGCTCAGTTGACCGAGGCTAGAGACGTGTTTGTTCCTAGGAGGGAAACTTGCCTGGGGTCGCCCACCTCCTGGGGTCGCCCATGGCCGTTCAGGGAAAGTGGTTCTTCGGTATTTTGCCCCATACACCACGGTTATTTGTTAAATGTTAATTGCACTAGAGCAAATTCAGCTTTAAGTAATCTCTCTCTCGGTGAAATTCAACCGATTCAGCATAAGGCTCCTGTAATCTTTCTGGGAACTTCCCATTAATTTTTGCTGGGAAATTGAACTCTTAAGAGCCGCTCTAACAATCGTTTAACCACTTAACATAATTAATGCGTTCTATGAATTCTCTTACTTAATAGAGGTAAATTTAAGATCACAATTATCACATAGAAACAAATCTACTGTACAGTATATTTGAAAGTCCCGACAGTACAGTATGTTGCTAGAAATGTCTTTACGATTTTGTATGAAATAATGACTCAACGAACGAAAGATTTTGACAACCCTGCCGAGACAACGGGAGTCGCAGTGTTCATTTGGAAATGCATTTGAGGATCCCTACGTAAAGATACTATATGTCAACAACTGTATTATAGTGTATATTACTTCTTCTAGCAACATACTGTACTGTCGGGACTTTCAAATATACTGTACAGTAGATTTGTTTCTAAGTGATAATTGTGATCTTAAATTTACCTCTATTAAGTAAGAGAATTCATAGAACGCATTAATTATGTTAATTGGTTAAACGATTGTTAGAGCGGCTCTTAAGAGTCAAACAATGGTTGTTAGTACACGACAAGTAAAGGATGCGCGAAGTCAGGTGTTAACTGTACAGTACATGGGAGGAGCAGCACTGTTGGGGTTGTATGTGAGACTACCAAGCTAAATCATTTATACAAGATACCAGCACAAACGAAGCAAATCTAAGTTAACCCATAAATCCCCAAACATTATTAAATTAAGTGAAATTTGGTTGGTTTGAGTATTTATCGTGTATAGGCTCAGTACAGTAGTGTCATACATCACTTCACTCAGCACTTCAACAAAAGATCGTCAGTGAGATGAGATCATAAGAACATAAGAATGGAGGAAACTGCAGCGGGCCTATTGGCCCATACTGGGCAGTCCCGTTTACACCCAACCCCTATTGCTCATATAAACATCGAATCTATGTTTGAAGCTATCCAGCGTATTCGAGTTAATGATGATATCTGGTAACTCCTACTTTCTAAGATTTTATACTTTCACCTACAATAAGAAACTCGTGTGTTTGGTAACACACAATAAGGGGGATTTTAAAGTATGCTCCTAAACGTTGGTTTGTTTGATGGTAATAACATAAAAAAGTATTTAGCGATGGTAGGAGCTCAGGACTAACTGGGAGTTTTTTTTTTTAGTTTAACAAATTTATTGACAAAGCTTGTAGTACAGTTTGCCTATTCTGAGTAATTCAGTCAGGTCTTGACACTGAGGGTGGTATCACTTCTCACTGCCACGCAGGACAGAGGTTCATACACAAAGAAATACATCATATTCATTAACAGCTATAAATGTATAGAAGTCAGATTCTTGTGGGTAATGTCACTGTTCACTGTCATGCAGGACAGAGGTTCGTACACAAAGAAATGCATCATATTCATTAGCAGTATATGTATATATAGGTCAGATTCATGTGGGTAATGTCATATGATAGAAGTATTTAAGTGGGTGAAAGGAATCAATAAAAGCGATGTAGATAAAGTTCTTATAATATCCGAGCAGGATAGGACTCGTAGCAACGGATTTAAGTTGGATAAGTTTAGGTTTAGGAGGGAGATAGGAAGGAACTGGTTCACAAATAGTGTGGTGGACGAGTGGAACAAGCTTAGCAACTTTGTAGTAAGTGCTGGAACGCTGGGGAGTTTTAAAAGGAGGCTAGATAGATTCATGGATGACAGCGAGTGGTAGTAACTCTCGACAGGAGCTACCATGCACAGGCCAACCGGCCTATTTCAGACTCCTTATTTTCTTATGTTCTTATGTTATGTTCACTCTTCACTGCTATACAGGACAGAGGTTCGTACACAAAGAAAGAAAGAAATACATCATATTCATTAGCAGCATATATAGGTCAGTGGATCACATACATTGGAGTCATATTCTAAATTGAAGACTAATCAGTGTGGGCTAGCAAATTTGGGATAAACAGCAAGAATGTCCTCAAGCACACCTGATTCAGTGTAGTAATTACAAAGTTCAAGATACAATAAGTCAGGTGGCAGCTCCGGACTGTTAAAAAAAAAACTATGAAAGAAGACACTAGAGATCATGTAGCGGTGTGACCATGACTCCTGACACACATAGTTACCACGACACTAACACTAATACAACT